TATCCAAAATCTATAAAGAACTTATCAAACTCAACACCCAGAGAACAAATGATCCAATCAAGAAATGGGCAGAAGACATGAACAGATATTTTTCCAAAGAAGACATCCAAATGGCCAACAGACACATGAAAAAGTGCTCAACATTGCTCGGCGTCAGCACTTGCTGGGGACCAGGAAGTCAAATCAAAACCTCAATGAGATACCACCTCACACCAGTCAGAATGGCTAAAATTAACAAGTCAGGAAACGACAGATGTTGGCAGGGATGCGGACAAAGGGGAACCCTCCTACACTGTTGGTGGGAATGCAAGCTGGTGCAGCCACTCTGGAAAACAGTATGCAGGTTCCCCAAAAAGTTGAAAATAAAGTCTAGGTCCTAGGTCCTTGCTAGTTCATAACTTTTCCAGACTTTGCCTCATACTAGCCTGCGTCAGGGGCAACTTCCTGCCTTAAACTCTCCTAACGCAGCTTCTGGCCTAAGTCACGATCCCAGCCATCTGACCTGCTGCTGAATGCTGGGAAAGGACAGGCTACCCAACACCCTCAGGGATCTCAGCTGCCCTCATATGGTCACCAGAAACTACTGTGAGTAAGGACAGTCAGGGGCTCCTGGGAAATTTAGATTCCTGGGCCCCAACCCATGCCTGAGCCAGTCTCTCCAGGAACCTGTATTTTTGACAAGCTCCCAGGTGAGTCCAAGGCAGGGCATCCAACCCATCCACTGTCTCTAAGTGGAAGAGATCCCAAGAGCTCTGCTGTGAGTGAGGAGAGCCTAGGAGTGAGTGGCCAAGGCCTTCTACCCAACATACCTCCAGGCTGCCGGGCAAACTGGAAGATATGGACGCGGGTGCCAGTGCTTCCTGCATCAAACATTATGCCGTAGAAAACCTCGTGACCACGTGCAGCTGTCTCTGGGGGACTGTGAGCCTGCTGGACCCTCCGGGCCCCCGATGCCACCTCAGTGATGCTGAAGAAGGCCTGGGTGGCAGAGGCCCAGTGCCACTTGATGTAGGCAACATAGATGAACAGGCAAATGAACAGCCCCAGGGGGTATGCCACCTTTGTCATCTTCAGGTTTCCATTATTTGGTATTTTTCTCATTTCTCTGTCTGCTGAGGATTGTGCTGCAGCTGCTGGAGGAAAGGGAGGAGAAGCAGGAAAAACATGTTAGGCTACAAGCTTCTGGGGCAAGTCAGAAGTCCCTGTGCTCAGGGACAAAACATTCAGCAGAAACTGGTCTGCATTTTCCCCCTGGAATCAGAAGCTTCATTCAGTCCTCAAAGTGCTTCCAGAAGGTGTGAGCCCATTTTACAGAAGAGAACAGGAACTAAGGTTTACAAAGACTAGATAACTTGTTTGAGGTGGTAGGTCCTGGAGGGTCTGACTTGGGGCACAGACCCACAACTGCTGGCTCTAAGGCCTGAGCCTGGTCCCCAGCAAGTGCTGTTCCAGACAAGTGGCTTTGGGACTTGTTGCCACTTTAAACAGCCACATGTAAATGGTGTCCCCAAACCTTCCAAGGTACAGGAACACATGTCCAATCCATTCTTTAAATTCTCACTTCCTCTTCTATACAGATATGCAGTTCTTAGAAGGCTTAAAGTCTCATCCCTTGGGGACTACAGAGAGCCCCAGCCATGTCTGAGAAATGCAGCTCATTTCCCTGGAAGTTTTACAGGAGACGTCTCTTTTCACTCATGTACTACACTCCGCCAAGGAGGAAATAATGCCTGTGAAAATCTTTCCTGAGAAAGATTGGAAAAACTTTCCAAGCCTATGAAAATCTTACCTGAGTAGCAAAAGAACTAACTCAGCACCACTGTCTTTGGTTCAATGCCCCCTGTGCCCCCAAATGAAAGCATTTGTTCAGGCTTTCTTAGCAGCTTCTGGTGTAAGACACCATGCGGGAACCTGAGGCTTCAAAGGACAAGAAGTGAGGTGCTTGATTCTCAGGGATACCCTACCCTTGGGGAATGTCCACCTGTGTCCATCCCTGACTTTGTCAGTTGTGGCAAGTGCACTGGACACGGTAAGGAGACAGGAAAGTGCCATTTTGAAAGCAAGACACGTAACAGACCAATATCCCTGATGAACATGGATGCCAAAATTCTCACCAAGATACTAACCAATAGGATCCAACAGTACATTAAGAGGATTGTTCACCACGACCAAGTGGGATTTATTCCTAGGCTGCAAGGGTGGTTCAACATCTGCAAATCAATCAGTGTGATACAACACATTAATAAAAGAAAGGATAAGACCCATACGATCCTCTCAATTGATGAAGAAAAAGCATTTGATAAAATACAGCATCCTTTCTTGATTAAAACTCTTCACAGTGTAGGGACAGAGAGTACATACCTCAATATCATAAAAGCCATCTATGAGAAGCCCACAGCAAGTATCATTCTCAATGGGGAAAAACTGAGAGCTTTTCCCCCAAGATCAGGAACACGACAGGGAGCCCACTCTCACCACCGTTGTTCAACAGAGTGCTAGAAGTCCTAGCCTCAGCAATTAAAACAAAAAGAAATAAAAGGCATCCAAATCGGCATTGCAGATGACATGACACTCTATGTGGAAAACCCAAAAGACTCCACCCCAAAATTGCTATAACTCATACAGGAATTCAGCAAATCAGTTGCATTTCTATACACTAACAATGAGACAGAAAAAAGAGAAATTAAGGAATTGATCCCAATTATAATTGCACCAAAAACCATAAGATACCTGGAAACAAACCTAACCAAAGAAGTAAAGGATCTGTACTCTGAAAACTATAGAACACTTATGACAGAAATTGAGGAGGACACAAAGAAATGGAAAAACATTCCATGCTCATGGATTAGAAGAACAAACATTGTTAAAATGTCTATGCTACCCAGAGCAATCTACACATTCAATGCAATCCCTATCGAAATACCATCAACATTTTTCACAGAGCTGAAACAAATAATCCTAAAATTTGTATGAAACCAGAAAAGACCCCAAATACCCAGAAGAATGTTGAAAAAGAAAACCAAAGCCAGTGGCATCATGATTCTGGACTTCAAGCTGTATCACAAAGTGGTAATCATCAAGACAGTATGGTACTGGCACAGTAACAGACACATAAATCAATGGAACAGAATAGAGAACCCAGAAATGGACCCTCAACTCTATGGTCAATTAATCTACAAAGCAGGAAAGAATATTCAATGGAAAAAAGACAGTCTCTTCGATATATGGTGCTGGGAAAATTGGACAGCCACATGCAGAAGAATGAAACTGGACCATTTTCTTACACCATACACAAAAATAAACTCAAAATGGATGAAAGACCTAAATGTGAGATAGGAATCCCTCAGAATCCTAGAGAACACAGGTAGCAACCTCTTTGACCTTGACTGCAGCAACTTCTTGCTAGACATGTCTCCAAAGACAGGAGAAACAAAGGCAAAAATGAAATACTGGGACTTCATCAAGATAAAAAGCTTCTGCACAGGGGCGCCTGGGTGGCTCAGATGGTTAAGCGTCTGCCTTAGGCTCAGGTCATGATCCCAGGGTCTTGGGATCAAGCCCCACGTCGAGCCCCACATCGGGCTCCTGGCTCAGCGGGGAGTTTGCTTCTCCCTCTCCCTCTGCCTCTCCCCCTGCTCACGCTCTCTCTCTCTCTCTGTATCTCTGTGTCTCAAATGAATAAATAAAATCTTAAAAAAAAAAAAAGTCTTCTGCACAGCAAAGGAAACAGTCAACAAAACCAAAAGGCAACCTATAGAATGGGAGAAGACACTTGCAAATGACATATAAGATAAAGGTAGTGTCCAAGATCTATAAGGAACTTATCAAACTCAACACCCATGGGCACCTTTGGCTCAGATCATGATCCCAGGGTCCTGGGATCGAGTCCTGCATCGGGCTCCCTGCTTGGCTTCTCCCTCTCCCCTTGCTTCTCCCCCCTGCTCATGTTTTCTGTCAAAAAAATAAATGAAACCTTTAAAAAACAAAAAACTCAACATCCAAAGAACAAATAATCCAGTCAAGAAATGGGCAGAAGACATGAACAGACATTTCTCCAAAGACATACAAATGGCCAACAGACAAATGAAAAAATGCTCAACATCACTCGGCATCAGGGAAATCCAAATCAAAAGCACAATGAGATACCACCTCACACCAGTCAGAATGGCTAAAATTAACAAGTCAGGAAATGACAAATGTTGGTGAGGATGCAGAGAAAGGGGACCCTCTTACACTGTTGGTGGGAATGCAAGGTGGTGCAGCCACTTTGGAAAACAGTATGGAGGTTCCTCAAAAAGTTAAAAATAGAACTACCCTATGAGTCAGTAATTGCACCACTAGGTATTTACTCCAAAGATACAAATGGAGTGATTCGAAGGGGCACCTGCACCCTAATGTTTATAGCAGCAATGTCCACAGTAGTCAGACTGTGGAAAGACCTGAGATGTGCATTGACAGATGAATAAAGAAGATGTGGTATATACATACAATGGAATGTTATTCAGCCATCAAAAAAAAAAAAATGAAATCTTACCATTTGCAATGACGTGGATGGAACTAGAGAGTATTATGCTAAGTGACATAAGTCAATCAGAGAAAGACAATTATCATATGATCTCACTCAGAGGTAGAATTTAAGAAAAAAAACAGGATCACAGGGGAAGGGAGGGAAAAATAAAATAAAACGGAATCATATAGGGAGACAAACCATGAGAGACTCTTAACTATAAGAAACAAACTGAGGGTTGCTGGAAGGGAGGTTGGTGGGGGGGATGGGATAACTGGGTGATAGGCATTAAGGAGGACATGTGATGTAATGAGCACTGGGTGATGAATCACTGAACTCGACCTCTGAAACTAATAATACACTATATGTTAATTGAGTTTAAATAAAATAAAATAAATTAAAAAAAAAAAGCAGGATATGGGTTTGTGTTCTGTCCACAGCAGCATGTGACCGTGGGCAAATTAAACTTCACAGGGGGCTGGTGTCCTCATCTGTAAGGTCGAAAGCCACCATATGACACTGTCTGGGGATACAATGAGATGTGTGATGTGCTCAGAAGAGGACACAGAGAACACATACTGAATGCTGGCTTTACAGCAGGGCAGTGGGAGGTAACATCCCCTTAGAACCAGGGACAGTGATGGGCAGGAGTGCTGGAAGATAGTATCACTGCACTGTCTGTGGAGGGCCAGGGCTAGAAGTGCAGGGTGGTCTTTACACCAATCTCGAGGGTACTTGGGAAGAGGAGAAATGGAATGAAACTGGCCCTTGGGACAGGGGTGGGTTTGGGGGGGGCAGAGTCCAGGCCTTCTGCAGCTACTCCTTTCCAGGATCTAGCCCTGCAGCCATACCTGGATGCCCTCAGGTCTGACCAGCACTGCCCAAACCTTTGGGCTGTCTCTGTGCTCCTACCTAAGGGATAGGCCTCTCCAGTGGCCCAACTCCCATGCTTGGGCAGGGGGCAGGACAAATCACACCCACCCTCCTGAGCATCTGCTGTGCACAAGGCTATGGGAATGGCTCTGCTGGCAAGACCAAGGAGCAAGTCTCCTTCCCAAGCTCCTGTTCCTGCCAGACTTTGGGCCTCTCTTGGGTCTCACTGCACTTAGGAGCTTCCTACTGCTCTTAGGATCATGTCACACCCCTGGGTGGGCCTAGCTCCTTACCAGCCTCTGCAGCTTTCCGTCACCCTCTCTTGTCTTTGCTCACAGTGCTCTGAAAACCTAGTGTCTCCTTCTGTTCTGTGTTCCCAGAATGCTTACGCACCAACCTGGCCAACCTTGTCTTCATCCCCAAGCCTCAGCTGAAATGTTATTGTCCCCGCTTTCCCTGATCACCCACAACTTGAACAGCCCTCACCACCATTATGCTCTCTCTGCACTCCCTCCCTCTATTGACCCGGCACCACCATAATTTATAACAATGTCAGGGTCTGTGAGATTAATTCCTAAAGGTCCATGTCACCCTCTAGGCTATGAACTTCCAAGGGCAGGGATTTAGCCTGTTTTGTGCCACTGCAGCTCAGTTGAGAACACAGGCCCTTATCTAGAAGGGTGGAGGATGCTCCTCTATCCCCACCTACCTCCCATACTGTTGCCAGACACACAGAAAAGGCCCTGTTTCAAATCCTTTAATGAGGAGAGGATGTCAGCAAGATGGTGGAATAGGGGGCCCTAGGCCTTTGTTACCCCATAGAAGTATTAAAAAAAACTGGGACTGGTTAAAATATTTTATAAGAGTCCTGAAAAACAGTCAAAGATCTATAGATCTATAAGAAAATGCCCAATCAAGAAGTCACATTCAGGGATGCCTGGGTGGCTCAGTCAGGTGTCTGCCTTCAGCTGAGGTCATGATCCCAGGGTCCTGGGATCGAGTCCCGCATCGGGCTCCTTGCTCAGCAGGGAGCCTGCTTCTCTCCCTGCCTGCCGCTCCCCCTGTTTGCACGCTCTCTCTCTGTCTGACAAATACGTAAAATCTTTTAAGAAATAAACTTAAAAAAAAAAAGTCACATTCAGAATGGTCGGAAGTTTTGTGGTGTTTACTCACCCTTGCCCCACCCCTCCCTGCATAGCAGGGCCTAAAGGAAGCAGCAGTCCAGTGCCTATTTCCTTCCTTCAAACTGGAGAGAGCAGAACAACATCCTAACCTGTCTTGGGGCTGGTCTCTGTTTTGCCCGACTTAG